TGTTTGGCATTTTTTGGTTTGGGTAATCTTTGGGGTTGTTTGTTTGTTTATTTGTTTGTTTGGGGGTTTGTTTGTTTTGGAGGAGGTGGGTTTTTTTGGTTGATTGGTTTTCTTCTTTTAAGTTCGGAAAAAAGTTTGACATTGGCAAGTCAGGAGAAAATGAAATTTGTGTGTGTGATGGGATGTGTGCTCTTCATACCCTCTCCCACATAGTCCTGCTTCGACTCTTTATTTTTTGTTATAGTCGTTCTTTTAAATTCCCTTTCTATTAGTTGATGAGGAATATCCAAACTATGGCCCCATATCTAAGATTCTCCACTAGAAATAGTTTTTGTGTCAACTAGCTTTCTCTTCATGAACTTTTTCAGCCAAATAGCGTCCCATTTCTAAACTTTTCTATCCAATGCTGAGGGATGAAAATGAGTTTTGCTTTGGTTTATTCCTGAATTTCATTCAGCTGAAATTCTTGTGTAACCATATGAGCACAGGACTGCAGCTGTCTGGAGTTCACATTCCCGGACAAAGGGCAGTTCCTAACACAAGGCTGGGAACAGAATTAAGCCTATGTCATATTTTGAGTATTATTTGTATAACTCCAGGTCTGAGGTTTTCTCATGAAGGGCAGAACTGGTGGAAGAATTAACAAAAAGAGGCACATGTTTTCATGGAAGACTTTCCCTTGCTTTACCCAGTTGGCCAGATCTTCACAGCTACTTCAGCTCCTTGCTGCTGTACAGAGCAGTTGAGCTGGTTGTTACCCCTTGGGGACTGTAGTCTCCACTCTGAATTAGGAGGGAAGAATAATCTCTTCATCTATAGCTTCTCAGATTAATAAATTATGGCAGCAGCAAAAGTGAAAACAAAAATTATGCATGCACTTGGCTGCGTTATGTGAGAAAATGTATTTCAGTGTTTCCTCTGTCTTCCTCTGGATTTGAGTTTTATCACATCCTTTTGCAGTTTTGGAGAAATTGAAAGTTTCTTTCAGCTGGGGATGGTGACTGAATAGCCAAGGGTTGAGCAACTGATGAAAAAGACTGTATTTGATGTTACCTGGATTTAAGACAAATAGCAAAGTAAACTCGAGCATCCTTTATGAAACTGCTGCTGGCAGCCTCGTTGCTTCCCTACTTCATCATTAGTATCTCTGCCAGTTAGTTAAATAACTAGGTCAGCCTGGGAGAGAAAAAAACATGTTCCTTGATCTTCTGTGCTGTCCCTCCTGTTTTCCCATGTGTTTCTCTTTATAGCCCATTTCTCAGCTACCCAAGGTGGCAGCATGTTTGCATTATCAAGTGTGAAGCTATGGAGGAGAAGCAGGTACATCTGGTGAGCGTGTGGGGAGAAAAAAAGCACAGGACTTTCTCTCCAGGTGCCTCAGAGGCCAAGGAAGGGGCACATTCACCTGCTGGTTTGGGGTTTGGTTTGGTTTGGTTTGGTTTTCCCCCTTTGCTCTTGGCTGGGAAGGGGATGCACTTTGCAGAGCTGGAACATCAATGCCCTCCATGGGAAGGTACTGAAGAGGGCAGGGAAGGTAATTCTGGGTACCACTGGCTCTGCAGCCTGCTTCACTTCCTGCCCAGCACATCAAGGAGACAAGGATGAGTTCAGATGCAAGCACAGCCCACAGGGCTCTGTCCTGGCTAAATGAGGTTGGGGTTTTTGTGTGTGATATTTTTCCTGATGACCAAATCTCCTTCAGTGTGGCTATTGAGCTGCACATAACAGAGCCTCAGTGATGACTAAGACTTGGAGAAAGTTTATGCTCTTGTTGAATGAATTCATATTGCAATTGCCTGACCTGATTATGTTAATTATTTCCAATCTTTATATGCTCTCAAATTGAAAAAGCAATCCAGGATGTAGCCCTGAATCAGTCTTGGATGAAACTGTGATGTGCTGATGAAGGAGGCAGTGGCACCAACACGCATTGCACCTCCCTATGGTCTGCTCCTGACAATATCTCCAGAGTTACACAGTTAATATGACAGATTAAGAACTACTGAGTAAAAACTGCCACATATTATTTAATCCTCTTCTGAAAAAGTTCTCATATTATGCCATATCACGTTACAAGCATTTAGTCCTTTGTCCACTAGTTTTAAGATAGATTTGAGTCAAAGTTATTTATGCATGTGAACGGATGGTCTACTTAGCTCGTGCTGTCCTTAACTTAAATATTCTTTTTTTAGGATTTCTTTTATTCCCTAGTTCTGTTAAACCCAATAGTTTTTCCTTTTGAAATACTCTAACATCAGCAATAATCTGTATTTTGCTATTAATATCTGGTGCTGATTATCCCATCATTTGTCAGTGCCATCTATCCTTATGATGAAGACCTTAGCATTTTGATACGACATTTTAATAGTTCAGCAGGGAGGCATCCTGTTTGTTGCATTTAGTTTCTGTTCTTACATTTTTATTGTTGTGTCCCCCATTAATGAGATTTTAGGGTTTTAAGCATATAGTTGCCTTTCTGAAGTCTGAATGTCCCATAATAAAACATTTTTCAGAGGGAAAATTATTTGGCAATAGTATTTTCAGGATTAAAGATCATCTGGTTCCATCCCCCCTGCCATGGGCAGGGACAGCTTCCACTAGACCAGGCTGCTCAAAGCCTGTCCAGCCTGACCTTGAATGCTTCCAGGAATGGGACAGCCACAGCTTCTCTGGGTGGTTTAGAGTTCAAGCTTTTACCTGCCTGGGTGCAAGTCAGCAGCTCTTCTCCTGCACCCCCTGAAGGGTTTGCTGGTGAAATGAAGCCTGAGAGGCCAGGAGGTGTGAGTGGATCTCCTGTTTCAGGTATTCCCTTGTGCTGTGTCCCTCGGATCCTGCCCTACCCAGGGTCATCTCTAAGGGAGTCAGGGCTGTCACACGCACGTTTCACAGCATCAGCCTTCCTGAAATGCAAAAAGCATTTCCTTACAAAAGGAGGGGAAAACTCTGGGAGAATTCCAAAAGTGAAGCAGAGGCTGTGACTTTTTGCAGTGGCAATTATTTTAAGTGAACTGCCTGTAAAGATTTTGCAGTTTGAAGTGGCAGGTTGCGTATTTTGCGCAGACAGGATTGTTAACGTGTGAAACACGCTAAAAATTGACCAATAAAGGCACCTGGATATTTCAGACATAAATAGTGTGTACCAAAATAGCTACAGAGCAGATGGCCTGGCTCCACACACACCTTGCTGACCAGAATACTCGAGCAACACACACAGCCAATCTCACTGCCTTCAAAGCTGATCATCTGCAAAGGCAAGGGTTATCCTCATGCTACCCTTTATCTGTCAGGCACAAATGCTCCTGCTAATTAGTGTATCCTAGAGGGATAATGAACCCAGGTTTGTTTGAACTTGCTACTACCCCAACAAAGCAAATCACCTGTTCTAGAGCTCAGGCTCTGAAAAGTCGGTGAGATTAAAACAACTGTGAGCTGAAATCTGATCTATGGTGGAAAGATCCCAAAACACAGAGAGCTGGGTTTGCCAGCCCGCTCACAGTGCTGCCTGCCACTGATAAACAGACAACTGAGTCTGTTTCTCACTCTCATTTTTTACCTTGGACACTAAGACCAAACATCCCCATTCCACATATTGACTGGGATGTAACGCTTTTCATGTCTCCTTGTATAGTTCAACAGATGTGAAAGGGAATTATCACTTCAACATGATATCAAGACTCTCTCAATTTTTTTTTTTAAGGTTGATGGCAGATTACTAAGCCCGAATTCTTGTTTAATTTTAGTGTGTTAATTGATGGAATAATGAGCATTGATTATATGTGTTTTGGCTTCGTCATTGCAATTACAGGCTCTGTTTTATTCATGAGCCAGTCCTAAAGAATGCACTAGAGATCTAAGACAGCTTAAACCTCTCAGAAAAAGGCTCTGAATTGTTTGAGTAATGACACTCTTAGATAGAAAATTAAAGGTTCTCTTTTCCCATGCTTTTTAAGATAATTAAAATCCAGGAACGGTAAGGTGGTGAACATCCTTATTCATTAGCCTTCAGTGATTTAGCTTCTACTAAATGAGGAAAACATTTTAATTCTCTAGGCCATCTGTTGCAGTCTCCTTTGTGTGTCCCGTTACATAAAGTCTCATCATGGATAGTTTTAACATCAGTATTGTATCCTTTCACCAGGAAGGATGACCTGGATGAGGTAGTTGAAGTCACTACCTATTAACAGACCATCCTGGATTTAGAGTGGCTGCTTGGTCTTTAAAGTTGAAGTTATCCTGTCTAGACACCTCTAGGCAAAGGATCCGCAGAGAGGAGCCCGTGCATGGAGATAGGCAGTGTGACAAGCTGTGTTTTCTAATAGTGATATCCATGCCAATAAATAACAAAGTTCATTGGAGCCCTTCCAGTTCTGCTAATGTGCGACTGCTCTGCCATATGGCTCCGTGCTGCTTTTGGAAGCAGGCACTCTCTGTTGGGCTGGGAACCACAGCAGAGGCTCTGTGCTGGATGCTGCTTTTGGAGGTGGTTTGGAGGCAGAGCAGGTCTCTTTGCACTGTAATGGGGAAATAGAATAAATATTAGAGTAGAAGTGTGCTTACCTAGGATAAATGCTGGATCAGGAACTAGGAAATGCTTGGAATCCGACTCTGGCTGTAGGAATAACTCACTTTACAGCTTGAGGCAAGTTACATTATCCCACACTGGGACAGTTTCTCATTAAAATTATAATTTGTATAGATGAATGGCTGCAGTGTTGAAGTTACTCCTGATGCAGTTACATCCCCACAGATCTAAGAGGATCCAGGTTCCTTTATGAGTTTGGCTTGTTTCTGTCAAATTCCCCTATAAAATACAAGCCCTACTACTTGCCAGCCCAGCAGTGCCTTCCAGGGGCTGCTGTAGACTGGTGTATTTAACTGGCTCCAGGGTTCCCAGGCAGTGTTTACATTATTGATAGGCATGGCTACAAGCGGGCTGCTTGCACGGGGCAGAGCCTCAATCCACCTGCTTGCTATTACTCTGGTTGCTTGGAGATCACAAACACCCTGGCCTCGAGATGTGTGGCTGCAGAACAAGTGTTCCCAGTACGAAGCAGTACTCGGTCAGTCAGCCAGCTCCTGCTTCCACCAAAAAAGGTCCCACAGCTGCTGCAGGCATGCCCAAGGGGTAAGTCATCGCTTTGTTATGGCATCTGGGTGATCTGCCATTTGTCTTGAATCTCATTATCTGGGTGTGTTTGTCTCTATCACGTGCTCTGTAATTAGTTTCTAGCAATTCAGCACAAGGTAAGCAGGTTTTGGGTTTTGATTGAAAGCAGGGAGGTGCTTCTCACAAATGTGAGTCCTGCTGGAAATAAAAGCTATGTGGCTGCTCCAAACTGAGAGCATTGGTGAGGAGGGGATGGCAGACCCCTCTCTACTTTCCTGGGTATAAAACTGAGAAACCTCTGGGACATCTTTCATGTACATGAAGAGTGTTGTAATGTCCCTCACAATAATCAGCTTTAGTAACAACTGCAGGCTATTCACTTACGTGAGGGATTAGAAGCTGTGTGATGTTCTTGTGCTGCTTGTAGAGGTCATTTTCCTTTCCACTGTGAAGGAAAGACACTCTCCCTTGGGAAGCCCCGAGTTCCTGGGTGATTAAATAAAACAGAATGAGCAAGCTCGTTCATGGAGAAATTTAATACTCAACACAATTTACCAAGTGATAACTGTGCCTCTGCTTTCTCACCACCAGCATACCCATAGCCAAGCAGCTGGAATCAATAAAAGGTAAGGAGACCCCTTCATAGCCCTCAGGGGTTCAGGTCTTTCACAGCCACGTGCAGAAAGTTGTGGCAGTGTCACAGGGCTTGCAGAGGCCATGCAGATCCTCAGCTGATGAAAGTCAAGAGGGTCTCATGGATCCCTGTGTCTTGTGCTCCTGTGTTGTCACTTCTCTTGTGCTTGCCTTTTCATAAAAAATCACAACACAAATCTTCTGCTAACAGAGGCTTGTAAGCATGCACAGTCATGCATGAGTGGGGGAATGAATCCAGCCCAAATGCCAAGAATGCCATAATGCTGGAGTGCAGCACTGATGCTCGGACATGGACATTGCTGTGCAGCCAGGCTTCCAAATGGGCCATGTTTCCCCTGATACAGATCTCTGGGAGTCCAAATGCATCCAGGAGATTGTCACCATGGCCTGTCCCCATGGTGTGGCAGGTCCTAACTGGATGCCCAGAGTCAGGGTAGACCAGATGGGTCTCAAGCCCATGCTGTCACAGCCCTAGCTCCAAAGGAAAGCTTCCTTCAGGGTGTGATTGCAAGGGATATGAGACATGTTGCTGGCCCACTCCAAATAAAATCTGGGCCAGATCCTCTGTGGGTATAAGCAGTTTCAGTCTCATTAACTTTAATGAAACTACACAGATTTCCACCTACCCAGGATGGTTCTAACAATTTCTTTCAATTATATCTCAAAAGCCTTTTTTTTTTTTTTTTGGATAAACTTTTCCTCCCTCCAGCTCTAAGAAAAGGCTCAGACCTTGAAAAGGCTTTTGCTACAGCAGCTTTGGTGTATAACAGCTATGCTGACCCCGAGAGCAAGCTCAGCAAAGCTGAAACCAAGAGCTTACTGCAGTCCCAGTTTGGGCAGTTCATACAGGTGAGGGGGTCTGCTGAGTGGGTGGCACTGGGACAGCCCTGGTTGGGCATTTTGGGTGCAGGAATGGCAGCTCAGCCTCTGTTCTCAAAAAAAAAAAAAAATGAAAAAATTATCAAGTGGTAGGAAAAGCTATATAGGACTAATAAAAAAGAGCTCAAATAAATAAACAACATCAGTCCATGGAGTAATCCCAAGTGAGACTTTAGGGACTTGGTACAAACATATTCTGTGACTTAGTTCCTTTATGTTGAGCCTGTGTCTAACACAGGGCCAAAGGAGCAGGACAGAAATAAACTTCAGCTGATGCCTGCTTGAATTTGTTTAAAGAAAACAGGGCAACTGCAAAAAAACCCCAACCAACCAACCAAATTAAAACCCTTGGCTGATGACAAGAGGCTGGATTTATGAAGAGAAGAAGCCCATAGCATTTAAGGAGGTGTTTGGTGGTTTGCCAGAGCACTGAGCCAGCCCTGTGCCACAGAGCTGTGTTCACTGCAGCCACTCCTGGGGTTCCTGGGGGAGAGGGGCACAAAGCCCTCACCCACCTGGCTGGGTATGGTGAAAAACCACCACAGCAGCACTTGTGGCTGTAAACTTCCTGCAGGGTGTTTTTCCCCCCCTCCCTAAATAAAATTTAAAAAAAAATTATCAAGCAGTAGGAAAAGCTATGTAGGACTAATAAAAAAGAGCTCAAATAAGTAAATGAGAGAGGTAATAACTTTACTTTCAAAAATAACAAAATCACATGACTGGTTGGGGAGGGGAAATTGGCACCAAGTTAGAAACTAGGCACCTTATTGAAATAGAATGGAAAATATCACTGGAAGCAATTAAGCTGGGGATCCTGAGATGGTTTGGAAATTATTAAGCTAAATAACTACCCTGGAACTCTAGCAAGGTTTTTTCATAAGAAAATATAAGTAATAGATATGTTACAGGATTTTAATAATCCATTCCAACAGGAATGCCCAAGAGGAGCAGTACTAAAGTTATGCCTGTAAAATCAACTGTTTCTGAGACCTTGACAATATGTATTTGTATATATTTGAATATTAAATTTAAGAGGGTTGGTTGGTTGGTTGTTTCCTCCTCCCAGTTTTATCAAGACACAGGACTCCCTTTATTTCCTAGCAGTCACCAGCTAAATCATCATCATTGTCAGATTTTCAGTCATAATTATGTGTCTTTTAAAACATATATACTGGATTCTGATGGAAACTTTGAGGCCTGGTTGTTCTCCTTTATGATTGCAATAATATTTCTGTTTGAATTTCTTTGGATACCTTTTGAAAAACCAATATGATTGTGGACATAGCAACCTGAATGGGAAAATAAAAAATACATTAATATTTACATAAGTATATGTCTTTTTTTCCTAATGATGCAATAAAAAAGGAATTTCATGCTATTTTTTTTTTCATTTAAAATCCTCCATAGGGCCAAGAAAACAAACCAAAATACCAGGAAATAATTTCTTCCTTGGATGAGGAGTCAGAGAACAAAATTAATTTTGAAGATTTCATGATCTTGTTAGTCAGTCTCACTCTAATGTCTGACCTGCTGCAGGAGATCAAAAATGTGAAAACCACAAAATGATCTGTGATTTTAAAGAAGAAATGGCCTGGCACTATATGAGGAAAGCATAAGTGAGCTACACAGAGATACCTGGTGCCTGGATACCCTGTGCTGGTCCCTTGTAAATGGAATAAAGTTGTGTCCAAACCTGGCTGAACTTACTCCTCTCTTGAAACCCTCCATGAAGTTGGTGCTCAGGGATTTGTGTCCACTTCATTTGTGCTTTGGGAGGGGGAGTGTCTGGCTCCTGCTGGATCCAAGACCAGTTTAACGGCAGGGAAAGGCAGCCCATGCTCTCCCTGTGATAATGTGGGAGGTGATGGAGACACGGCTGCCAAAATGTGCAGCCCCATCCCTCGAGGCAGGGCTGCCCGGCTCCCTGGGGGCTTCAGAGATGGGTTTCACAGTGGGCAGTGACCACACAATCTGTTGCTGTCTTAGGTAAAGATTGATTTTAGTCTGTGTGATTTCCACCCCACCATTAACCCTGCTGAAGGGAGCGTTTGTTTGCTTTTATTTCCTCCTCCAACTGCTCTCTTTGTTTAGAGATCACAATGGAAGGAATTTCAAGTCCAGCACTTGCAGGGCATCTTTGGCAGTGCTGTGCTTGTATGTCCAGGGGAATGACCCAAACATGCCAGCCCTCTGAATCTGCTGTTCCATGAAACTGTGAAAAGCAGAAACCAGATAAGGGATGGTTCAGACCAGGGATGGTGAGGAAAAAGGGTGGCAAATAAATTGTTTGTATTGGAACTGAGTGATAGGGGTTAGGGCCAGAGCCTCAGTATTAAATGCTCATCTTCCTAATATTTGATTTGATTCCTACCTACAAAGTCCTGGCTCAGAGCCAACATTTATCCCACTGTGACATCCCTATGGAACACAAAAAGCAGTCACACCCCAGGAACAGAACAGCCTCTGAACAAATTTAATAAGATTCTACCAAGATGAACAAGCCTGCAAAATGTTGCAGCCTTTTAAATTTTTTCTTCTTCTTTGGCTGGAAAGGAGAAGATAATAATGATTTAGCTTTGGTGCATGAATTTTTAACAGAAAGGGATCAAACAATCTAGTGTTAAAAGAGGGAAATTAGTGCCAGCTGAGTGAGATTTAACTCTTTGACATAAAAAGGCTCTTAGTGTTTTCAGGAGCTAAGACAATGTTTTCTAATGAATGATGATGAAAGGAAAGACTACATTAGAAGACGAGCAGCCAATTGTTTGGAGAAGGAAGATCTCTGCAGTGTGGGATGGAGCTGAAAAAAGAAATGTAAATGGGTACGGTGGATTTTGAAATGAAGCTCAGCAGGTAAAGTTCTGGGTTTGGACCTCAACCAACACCCTGCTAGGGGTGGGATCACTCACCTTGGTATCACAGTTTAACTCTGATACCCTGTCCCTGGTGTTACTCAGTCTCTTTCCCTGTCCCTTTGATTTTTGGCCAGGTAGATTTGTGAAAACAAAACATCAGCTGATGCTTCTTTTCTGGGGTAGGAAGATGGACTGAATGTGAGTGTCTAGGCAGGTTTCCCATTAGTCAGGCAAAGAAAACACAGCACAGCCCTGAAAAGATTCTTTGGGAGCCGCTGGTGATGCTGGAAGCATAAATTTCCTAATATCCCTCTCTCACACAAAAAAAATATTGAAAAAATATTGTGAAGCCACTTAAGAAGTTCTTTGAAATTGCTAAGGCTCTAACAGAGTTTTTGTTATTGCTGAAATGTTTCTAAATCTTGCATGACTTGAATTAATGACTTAAGAGCCTTTTATCAGATCAATTCACTCTGTCATCTTATCATGTGCAAACCCTTTTTACCCCAGCTCAGTGTCTTGTGAGCAACATGCTGAGTCCCTGGCTTGGATCAAAAGGCCCTTGTGCTAAGCACAGTGAAAATTCAAAGTAAGAAGCAATTTCTGAACGACTCAATAGCAAAGATATTCAAATGGTAGGGAAGGAATCAGAGGCACAGAAAAACCAAGTTCCTTGTGAGCACATGTAGCAGAGCTGGAGCTGGATTCCAGCCTGCACTGGGCTCCTCACACAGAAGCTGAGGCACTGTGATGGTTTCTGCAAGTTTCTGAACAAAGTGAACGGGATGTGCAAGGCTTGATCTGCATCAGTCCTTGAAAGTCCCACCTGATGCTCAAAAGCAGAAGGACATGCTTGGAAAAGCCCCAGCATCTTCTTTTAGTTATGAGTAGGCAGAAGTTTGCACCTTTACTGTGGAAAATGCTCTTTATTAACTCAAAGTATTTGTGGCTGCACTCTCAGCTATTGGCTTTGAAGCTGATCTGGTGCAGACAGCATGTCTGGCTGCATCCTCAGGGAGCTGCCTGTGAGCTTGCTTAAAAGGCTACTGTTGTGCTTTGTTTTGTTCCTAGCTCTGGAAGCAGAGTTCATCATTGATTTCTCAGAGCAGAGCCCAACCAGTGCTAAGGAGTTGAGCAGCAGCTGAGTTGATGAAATCTGCAGGTTCCTCTTCCCCAGCAAGTGGGAACAACATGTCAGTGTCTGATACCCTCAGAAGTGCAAGTGGCACGAAGAGCAGGCAGTCAAGACCTGACCTCTGTGTGCTTGGGATGTTGTGTTGGGATTTGTGCCCTGAGAGTGTATGAACCTTGGGAGGTTCTGTAGACTTTGGATCTAAGCTTTAAGTTCTGTTCTGAAAAGTCTGAATCATCTCTGCAGTTACATGAGCTTTCAGATGACTGCCAGAGGAGAAATGAGCGTCAGGGAGAATTTCAGCCTCAGATCTTCAGCTTCCATTTCCAAATATCAGCTCAGGAAGGCAGGATCGTTCTCATACTTTTATTAGCACACCTACAGCTTCTCCCTATGACTCCTTACTTTGTATTTGGCCTTATCTCTTTGGGCTGCTGAATTTAGAAAGTTTTTAAAATCTGGCTTTAGTCTAATCTCTGAGGGGCTCTCCCAGATTGCAGGGGAACTCTCCCATCCCAGTGCACTTTGAAGAGTTGAGTCAGGGCAGGGCTTGAACTTTCTTCTGAGAGCCCAGGGTCACACACACCATAGGTACAATTTTTCATAAGTCTTTCAGGGAAAAGAAATACATTTTTAAATTGTCTTGCTGTTACTATACCTTCAGTAAGACCTCCTATGTGGGGCACTGGAGTCTGGATGCTGAGGGAACCCTGCAGGCTGAGACATTTTCTTTGTCTCTTCCTCCCTCAGAGGAAGTTCAGTTTAAACTCATCCTGGGTCCATACACTTTGAAAGTACCTGTGTGATGCACACCCCAGCTCAGTGCTGCCATGTGTCCTGGCCCAGGAAATCTTCTCAGCAGCTGCATCCACTCAAGTGGTTGTTGTAGCAGGTCTCTTTGCAGAGAGAGGTAGAGTTTTGCACTGTAGTCTGCAAAGAAAGTGGTTTAATTGTGGCTATACGGTAGGAAAACCTTCTCCAGGAGAGTTGGAATGACTTCTCCAGGAGTGTTTGAAAGATGCTGTGTGGTACAGCCCCTTAGGAGCTCACACAGAGCAGAGGAAAAGCTTTGTCCCAGAATTATGTTCTCTGCAAAGTGTGATAATTTGTGAGCCTCAAAGGACCACTCTGAAATGTCTCTTGAAAAAAGGAAATCTCTTTGTTTCAAGCTCAGTCAGGGAACATAGATGTAGAAGAGGCAGTGGTTTATGGCTTTTTGAATTGACAGCTTTTAATCCTGCATTGACTTTTACTGCAGTGTAGTGGGTTTACAAGGTTTCCAGTGAAGCTGTCTCTTCACTTTGCTCACCTGCTATTCCCTGCCCACTATATAAGGGTTTATATCCCTAGAACTGAGTCTTCATCCAGCAAAGGTAAACTGCAAATAATATTCAACAGCCTCTGGGCCAAAATGCAAATTTGGGTTTATAAAAAATGAGTGTGTGATTGTTTGTCAAAGATCCCCTGAGTCTCAAACAGTGTGAGATTTGTTCACTTTGACATCTTTACTTTGGCACCTGGGACTGGTGAAGGAAGTCCATGTACAGATGCTGACGCATTTCCTGCATTTGCTGGTGAATTTTTCTTGATCCAGTTGTTCTGCCTTCATCCCCACATAATGCTTTTTTGAGGTTTGTTTGAAGAAAATGTGCACTAGCAGACACATTCAGGTTAAGCATTATATCACAGCTTTTTTCTCTGAAGCTGGCAGGGGCAAAAACCACACTGGGGATAGAATATCCACAAGTAAATATCCCTTTTTTCTTGGGACATCGTAGCTGCTGTCATAGCATCTCTGGGTTTATACACCACTACGTGGATTATATAGGGCTTTGCCTAATTAATTAATTAAACCAAATTGCAAAATTGCTTTCTTATTAAACTGATCTCACTGCAGAAATAAGGCTGATTACTTCCCTGACAAATTTTAATTAGGCAGCTACAACAAACTGTAATAAAGAGCACAAATTAAAAACAGATCATACTAGATGTGGCTTTATCAAATGCTGTGTTAGTACCAGGCAACATACACAGTGATTAAATTACACAGAAAAAGCTCATTTTTTCTCCTCTGGTAAAGATCTATCTTCTTTCTAGTGGAAGAAGTATTTTTATAAAACCATTACATTAATAACCCACACATCAGTAAGTGTTTATTGGTAGTTGCTTTCCAGCAACAGCTCTTGTACATTCTGCAAGACTCAATCATTGAGGCACTCTTTATTTCTCCTTTAAATTTATACTTGTAGTACACATGACCCAAGGTTACTGCAAAGCCTCTGAGGACAAGAAAGGCTTTATTACCTGCACATATACTCCTCAATTTATCTTTCCTCTTTTAGCTTTTTAGGGCTTGGATCCAGCTCAGCTGAAAACAACATAATTTGATAATGATTTGCATAAGAATTGTAAGCAGCGGCCCACACAAATTAAGCATTAATTAATGAGCACCTAAAGCCTTCTGCTGAGTGCAGCCTGAGGCCAAGCAATGCTGGGAGTGCTCAAGTATATGTGAAGGAAAGAGCGAGTAAGCACAGCAAATTAAAGATAAATCCTTAATTCTTCTTTAATATCTATTCCAGCCCTTGAGACTGTAGAAGAATTGTAGATTTCTTATCCCTGTTAGAGGATGACAAAGGTCAAAAGGAAA